AATTATATGTTTAGTATGACTATATGGTTTTACTGACTTTCCAAAACCTTCATATTCCAAAAAATCCTTCTCATAATATAACTCTATGTCACACGTTAAGTGAAGGAAGACACAGAACGCAAGAATGCAAAAAATATTAATGATTTAATGTTGAAAAATAAGTCCAAAGTAAAAACCAATCAAACCAAATTCAAAATGAAACAGAGGAACCAGGAACATGGTTGTAGACAAACAAAGACTTTGACAATGGATCTGGTGGTGACATGGACAAGCGGAGAGGAGCACAGGTACATATAGACAGGTGAAAAACATTAGGGCAGGGCAGACAATCAAGGGGATCAGGAAGTCAAACTAAAACAAAACCACAGAACTGAAGTCAAAATAATACCAAAAATCCCCACACTATGACACTCTGGTCATACTTGATGATTACACCCAAATCCATGTGGTCCACTATATCCTGGGTTGGAAAACACTGGGTTAAGTGTCTTGCTCAAAGACACAAAACAGCATTGATCTTAAGCAGCTGGAATGTTTGTAGCAGGAGCAGAATTTAGGCCACCAACCTGTGGGTCAGAAGACACTCAACCAACTCAGCTGAGCAGTGCTACTGAAGGTTCATTTGGATTACAAATCAACCAATGAGCTGCGGAAATGACCCTGGCCTGAAAATGGTTTGAATTCAGAACATCAATGTGAATTTTTCTTTAGTCAACTATAATTACTATTTTGTTCACATGGGTATACTGTATCCATGTGAACAACAAAAAAGTTTATACACATTTGTTATGGACCCAGAATGTCTTAAAATGCTATTGTTTTAATAAGTGGAGTCAAATCTAATGGACATTTTTATATCTCTTGGCGCCACATAGCAATACATTTAAATGTATTCAATCTAAATGACAAAAATAAATAAAACCAACACAAGGTTTGTTTTATTTTTTTAGAGTGTTTGAACTACAGCCTCAAAGAGTTTAAGATTTCCATTTCCAATTCATATATTTTTATTTGGTCAGCGGGTTGGGTGATAAATTCAGGCCATGACAGGCCCATACATCACATTGAATGGAGGTTTTTGGCGGACAAGTGTAATTTCTGAGTGAATAAAATGGCTTTCTGCGTGGCCAACAACTCAAAAACATATAAAAAGAAATGCAGTTTTCATCCCCTCGACGAGCCATTAACTCCCTTGCCCTTGTGGACTGACAAACACAACTCAATACTGGCGCTGTACGAAAGAATTCCACACAGGATCAGACCTGCTTTTTATGCACTGTTGATTTTCACTGAAAGAAAACCCGTGAGTGAAGAGGGGGACGCCTGCACTGTACAAAAATAACAGCAAACGTTAAAATTACTTTAATATAAAATCTCAGTTTAAGTGGTAGATTTTTTATGGGCCAAGAACACTGTGTTCTCTGACTTTTCAACTTGGACTGTAAACGCTTTTTGACTAGATTCTGGCTGCTTGGTGCAGTTCTGACATGAACACATTGATTCACATTCACAAAGCTGAAGTTGGCTGAATGACTAATGTTTAGTTTCTCACAAACTACAGCGCCATATATACAATTTTGTGTCATCATCACTAACAAAATGTCGATATACGTCACGTTATAGCATGCTCCTGTTGGCAGAGATGCAGTTAATCACCTGACACAGAGGGACACGATTGGCCCGCGAGCTCGACTGCATTTGGCTGATCAAAAAGATTCCATCGGGATTTTTTTCTCGCAGAATTATAACATGGGTAGAGCATAATTTTTGACTGTGTTTGTCTAAAGTGGTTAGATATTGTATTTATCTTCCTGTAAAAACACAAGAATGATTGCCAAGGTATAGAATATCACTGTACCAAGCAGTGGGTGGGTTGTTTTTTTCACTATTTCTTTTTGAAAAGTGAGCACAAGATAGTTCACAACAAAAATAATAATATAAAAAATAATATTATTTTTTTATTTTGGATGAGACAGTGTATATTAATGAATACTGGATTGAAGCCATAAAGAAATAAAAGAAAAAATATGTAATAATAATTTTACTGTTTATAAAGTATCTATTCTTATAATTTGCATGGTGAAATGCTAGATACTAGATTTGTTGGCAAAGCAGTGACATCACTTTTGCGGAATCAACAAATTACACAGTGCACCGTCAAGTTCAACCAATGCCAAACTATATTTTTGACGTGTATAGGCTCGAATATCAAACTTTGTTCCATCAAAAGCAACAAGAATATGATCTAGACATGCATTATAAAGCTCTCACAAAGGAGAGCACCAAACTACAAGGATATACTGGTGAATAGGGTCATGATTTCTGAGGGGGATTTGCTGTTGCCTGGACAACGCACAAAGCAATCCTGTTGGACAATGCAGGCTACTAAAAAATGCTTTAGAGGGGAAAATACCCTGGTAATGTCTGGTACAATTACAAGACCTGTACCAAACCGTTTTGAGACCAGTTTTCCCAAATGCGAGGTGTAATTTGAGCTTGCGAACACACCTGCTTTGAATGACTACGTGTTGGAAAGGATCTCAGCACTTTAAATCATATTGTGATGTATGAGAAAATCAGAGCGGACGCAAGCTCCAGAGATGAGGCGGCTCGGTTTAGACCAGAGGTGAAGGGTGCCCGGAAAATGTTAATGATATGCTGTAAGAGTGAAGCTTTGTAAACACAAGAGCAGCTAACAAGAGCCAGTCTGAGGGTGGATGGATACGGGCATATATTTCTCTTACTATTTAGGATTTGGCAGCTTTTCCCAAAGACACCATAGGGAAGGATATCAACAGAGACCTACACAACCCTTTCTTTAATTCAAAAGTTTTGTTCTGTAATTGCTTTTCACATGCGCATATTTTTGGCTGCTCTGTCATATTTTTTGTGTGTGAATGATTGGAGGGGCTGATAGCATGTATTAGTTGCCTTTTTTTTGTTAATTTGCCCCACAGCAGATGTAGTTTCATACATGATTTACCACCACCGTGTATGGAGTCAAACAACACTGCCATGTGAGGCGTATTTGAGTGTCCAAAAGGCACTATATAAAACCAATGCATCATTATCATTATGTTTAATTCACAACTTGAACCTCAATTAAAATTTTGAAATATGTTTCAAATCAAAGAGACTAGCGGGGTTATCAGGGGTAAATAAGCCTACTGATTGTGATTCACACTACACACTAATAGGCCACCTGTAGATCTGACAATGGGGAGAGAAATGATGTACATGTAATTAAATTAGCTTGACATCATCTGTTCTTCTCAGGTGTGGAAATCTATGTACAAAATGTGATTCCATAACCTATAGACTACTACACTTCTGTCTTTGATGACTGATAATGTCACTGATAATTTCACTTTTTGAAACTATTTGTCATGTAAAGTTATAGCCAAAAAGAAACCACATAGGACAAGTTTCTTAGTACTTTTTTGTATTAAAATCCATCTTTAAACATGCTTTTTCACTTTACTGCACATTTTTTTTTACTTGTGTAAGGTAAAGTTATCATCTTTTTCTGTTTTTCAAAGGTGGAGCTGTGCTGCTAATGACCTTTATTGTAACTGTCTGCTGATTGAGCGCCAGCTAAAGTTACCCTCCTCCCTGTCAGCCGGGCAAGTACCAACACATCTGACTCTACACCAGAGCAGCCTGCAAAAACAGCACCAGACAAGGCTCTGTTTATGCATTCACATGCCGATTTTTGCAATTTCAAACACATTTTCAGTTGACATCTTTTATTGAATTCTTTTTTATCTTTTTGCTTATCAAATCCACTGCCTGGCGTGAGTGCTGGGCAGTGGCCTGAACCCTTCAATCAGGCTGTCATTACAGTCCAGAGACTTAATGGTACACTGTTACACAAGGAATAGTCTGTAATAAAGTTTGCTCAAAGATAAACAGCGAGTCGAGGAATGGACCCTGGGTGGACATTAAACTGTTCAATCCAGATGCTAACTCAAGACCTGCCTGAAAAGTATAGCAAGAAGCAAGCTTTTTCATAAAAAGTTGTATTTGCAAATGACTGTACCTCCGCCCTGGGGCTTATGTAATCACCAGGGTTTATGCGCTTTTCTCGTTTAAGTAAGTTAATATTAAGAGTCACATTTTGCTACGCTGTAGTGCAGTAAAGAGTCTTCCAAACATTTTGCAGAATAATGAAAAAGAATAGACCAAGGATTTCATTGTGCAGTGTGAAGCCAGTGTGAAGCAGTGTACTGTTACTAAGCTCTTTTTGAGACACAGCTAGAATTTAACAATAATTATGGCAAGAAACCCAGTGCGTTCACTTGTCCTTGCAAGGTCTTGCTTTAAACTAGTTTGATGGTCCTGATACACATTCACATTCTAAATTGACTCAAAAAAAAAAACCACAGAGATATTGGGTCAATACTGTCGACCGTAAGTATATCTTTTATTGTGGAGTTTGCGTTTGTTTTGTGTTATTGTAATAATATATTACATTTTGCAGAGGGACAACAATTGTAAACTAGCTGTATAACATTTGCAGTAATGTTTTGTGCACTCTGCCTTTTCAAATAAACAAATACATAAATATGTTTATTAATAACGATGATAGACATGTAATTAATCGCAATCAAACTATGAATTATGAGGTCTACTAGATCCAGATCTGCATGTTTATGACCACTGACAAGATTAAACACAAAATGCTATAAATGGTGATGTCAATGGATACTCATAGATGAAGTGATTGCAACTGAAAAGAAGGACATTGCGTAGCGCCTCACTCACAAAGAGGCTTAAACAGTACATGTAGTATCATATGTCATGGCCTATTTTTCCCAAATCCAATTTTTCCTGCAACAACACAACTCTCTGAAGAGTTCACATTGGATCTCACTCTCCACTGTTGTTAAGGTCATTGGTCCCGCCTCCGCTGCGCCCTGATTGGTCCTAGACATTCTGGAATATATAATAAGACACCTTGCTCTGTGCTGTGATTGGCCACAGCCGGTGCAGTTATGTAAATGAGCACCTGGTGGCGCTTCGCCGCTGCTCGCACAGTTCTGCTGAAGGCAACACTGCTGTGGAGAGGGTCTGCGGACAGAGACCCGAGTCCACGCGTAATAACAAGATAACACCAAGTTTGAGCTAGAGAAAAGAGTGACTTTTTAATACAGAGATGGCTTAAGTTGGCTTTGCGCTGAACCTGCGTAAAAGTCCTCTTCAAATCCAGCGTGACGGTATTTTGTTGAGACTTTTTGCGCGTCCACATTGAACTACAAGCAAGAACCACGCTTTTTTGGATGTAACATTCACGGACGCTTCTTACCAGCACCATTCATCTCAATATTGAAGTTTACAGCGGGAAAGTTTGGACCGCTCTCGCTGACCTTACTACTTTGTGTTTACGGTGAGTGGCTCATTGGCGTGTCGTTATAACTACATTGTTGGTGATCTGTCAGCGCATGTGTCCCGGCTGTCTGCGTGTGTGTTGCGGTGTCTGGGCGCCCTCTTTGCGGCTTGGCGTCTGTGTGTCTCGCAGTGTGGAGCGATCCGCGGAGGTCTGGACGCGGGCCACGGGTTGTTGGACCTGTGTGTATACGGGGTGGTAGTGTTATGTGCGCCTGTGGGCCAGATGCTATTGTGGTATTTGGTAAAATAGTAGTGCCATTCTGTGTATACTGACAGAAATCACAAGCAAAAGATTTAACAAGTTTAACCAATATAAGGAATGAATATCAGCTTCTAGCTATCTATCTATCTATCTAGCCATACATCTATATATTCAATCCAACTGGTAACAAAATCAGGACAACCCCAATTTACATTAGACTAGAATAAGAACTTTGTCCACTCAAGATTGTATTTGGACTCAAACTGGTACAGGGAAGAAAAGGTGGGAGCCCATCTCATTTCATCTTTCCAAACATGAATTGTGAAAAAGTCCAAATTTGGACTAAAACAATAAACAATAAATGCGTAAACTCAGTACTTGAATTTTATCAAAGTTTGTGTGCATAAGAATTTATATAATCCAGGATTAAGGTATACTGTAGTGATCAGGATCGACTTCTCCATTAGAATCACATAAACAGCCTACAAAGTATATTTTTGGTTGCATTAAATATGTGTTATCAGCCACAAACATACCAATAATCAAGATGATGTCTTTCTGTCCATGTATGCCTCTCTATTCTTTGTTGACGACTCTTGAATTGGTCTTTATTGCCATTATACAGCTATTCAGATACATACATCTGGATAGCTGTAATAATACATTATTTTGTTCTTTATTGAAGCCCTTTGTTTTTATGGAAAAGCACCATAGTATTCTTGGTCATGATAATCATTGCAGAAACTTCATCTCATCCCTACAGAACCAAGCCAGGACCTAATGACGGACAAGAACGAGTTACAATCACAGCTCTAGACTTAATCCAAACTGTTTCATTCAAAGTGAGGCTTTAAAAACACTCTTGAGGTTTTGTCTGGGGCACTCTGCCAAAATGTTTTCTTCAGTATTTATTTGAAATAGACATGTTCCTTCATTTGTTCTTAGTCCAAGCTGCACTTCCTGCTTCCATTCACACAAAACCCACTGCGTTTCCACTCGCTGCACAGTTTATTATCCTTTACAGCTCATTCACAAACCCCAACAGTTAAACAAACACACGTCTTCCTTTTTTCGGGCTCTCCAAGTGCACACACATATAATGGATAAACGGCGGCGTAGTAAAATGTCTCAAGTTTAGGGGTTTTAGGATCCAGGTGTAGGTAATCACAGCACACATTAACCCTGTGATCCCACAGCGCTACAGCTGACCTCAGTTTGAACATCAGCCCTCACCTCCATCACCTCTGCCCCCAATGAGGTGCTTCTCTTTGGGGAGTGCTCAGTCAGAACAGCCAGCCTAAAACAAAGTGATGCCTGGGCACACAACATGCCAGGGAAAAGGGGGAGGGTTTTTTGGAAATGGTTGACATATTTTATGAAGGACCGAATGAAGGACATGGACACTGAAAAAAGTAAAACAAATAAAATCAAATGACTTTAATTCACTAAAACAAGTTCAATACATGTTTAATAAAATGTATCAACTTTATATAGTAAATTGTGACATTTGACATTGGAATACAGTATCATAAAAGTGCTGGAATATGACTTTACACAAACACTTGTTGCATAATATGGACATGACATCATTATTACCTCCTCCAGGGGTTTTAGTTGTATTGGAGTTGGCTTTGTGTGTGTATATTTTGAAGGTGATCCGGATCGAGGATTGTTTGCTTCTTGATTGAGGTAAACAATTGTTTTTTTATTATCTGCCACAATAGGTAAATCCTCCAGTTATGCAGCTTTGGATCATAGAAATTATTATTATACCGTCCTATAACAGTTTTGCCCATGGTTGAATACTTCTGGTATTGTTTTATGTTTAGTCAATTTGCTTGTTAAGTGAAATCGCCGATAAATATGGATATCATTCTCAAAGATGAACAATGACCAGCAATCCACTTAAGGCATACTGCTTTTTTCATACTTATTTTTTTCTATAGTCATTTAATTTCTTACAGGTTTTTGAAGCTACATTATAGTATTTTATAAATCTTTCAGGAAACTCTAATACAAGGACATGATCCATTTTAGGAATGTAAAACGTCTGTGTTCTCTGCACAAGACGCGACCTCATCCTTAACAATGGTGTCCAGAGGCTTAGGCGGCTCACCTTCCACCACATGAAGAAGCTGAGGTCGGCAGTCCACACGAGGTGCTGCGTCGTGAGACCGGAGGAGAATTATATGGGTTTGGCTCGGCTGCTTGTGCTCTTTGCCAATTGATAGAGAGGCAATAAAAGATGTCTCCTCCTTCTGTGGCCCCTTATGCAAAATCTCTAAAGCGTGAAGTGGAAAGAAGTCCGGATGTTGGTATGAACAGGTCTGTCGTTAGCGGTATAATGGGCTTTTTAGTGCCAAATTGTCCCCATGAGAGTTGTTTGGCCTGAAGTGCATTTTCTATTATTTGGTTATAGACTGATTTGACCCAAACACCATTGACAAGAGTATAACAGGGATGCACAGTCTTTGGCTAAATGTGTATTTACAATTGTTTAAAACATATTTATTAGTCAGTGTGGACAAATAACTCCAAGAACATCAACATACTGTTTTAATGAACAAAAATAATGGTCAAAGACTGATAATCCTATTTCACAATATGAGGAATTGTTATTTTAACCGTTTAAGGAGAACGGCTCTGTGAGTTCATGACTCCAGGTCAGTGGCCTGGCCTCCCACATCCATTTCCCTACATTGTTCTGTAACTCGTAACTCTTTTGTTTGAAATCCTCTTGTCTCTTATAAATGGACAAGAGACAAGGCAGTTATCTGACATGTCAGGTAGATATCTGACATTTCTGAAATATAGATTACTCTTTAAGTAACGGACTTTATTACTGCAAGTTGATTCTTTATTTTTTAAGTAGTTGTGGTGGTTTTTTTTGTACCTGACAGCTTTGACTGCTGGTGCACACTCTTCCTCAGATTGGTCACATGATGTTCCTGTGTACACTCTGAGGAACACAGCACACCAGTAGTCAAAACCGTCAAGAACCTTTAACTTTAATAATTGCAGCATTTGCGATTTGCTTATTGCATTTAGACAAATTGTGAAACAAGACTCAACAAGCCGCACATCTCTCCAGAAACTACAGATGAAAAATAGCCTTTAAAAAAAAAGCTTCAGCAATTAAAGCTGTATTGGCTAAATGACCTATCATGTTTTCATTGTTGTTTGAATCGTTCCAAGAAGTTTTCGTTGTGAATTAAGACAAGATTAGGCAACAAAGACTGTAACTATGTTGGTGAGTAGGTGTTATAGGTGTATAGGTCAAGCATATTCCTCAGAGCCACAAGGTATGGCTCTTATTAAGCTCCAGTTTGCTATCAAATCTACATTAGAATTTAAGCACATTAATTTGTCATATGAGCCAGCCTCTACAGACATTTTCTAATGCATTTATTGAACTGAAATGAAATACAGGACATTTGCCTTTGCACAAAATTCCCCCATCAGCCCTAGTTGTTATCTTATTCAAAGAAGCAAGCGCCAAGATAATTCCATTCTGTCATTGAGGTCTGCGTAAGCGTGAAATTACCGTTTGTAAAAGACCATTTATATTTGAGTTTTTACAGCTCCTCGGCCGGGGCTTTTCTACACAAAGGCGGAGTATTCCCATAGAGAGAATGCTTTGCGAGTTGGCTTGGTTTGAATATTGACCCTTGTGTTTTTTGTCCTCACTGTTATCATTGTTTTGGCAGCAGCTGTGCTATGTGACTTTTCTTTGTTTTCTCTTTACGACTGTTGACAAAGACTTTTAGAAGGTACATACGAATTTGATGAAAAGGTAAAGAAGCGTTTAAAATAGTTTACCACTCGCCGTTTGATACAGTTCACCGGTTGTTATAGGGATATGGACCAGATAAAATCACTGCCATCTAAACCTTGGAGTTCAGTAATTGGTCCTGCACAAGGAGAGAAACTTTGGGAGCAGTGGACACAATAGTAGTGGCTTGAACTTTCCAACTTTTTATGGAATCAAATCCAGTTCAAGCCATGGCCGTGTAACTCAGCACTCTTTCTGTGTGCTTGAATAAGACTAAACCCAGGAAACTAAATCAGGACCAAAGAATAGGGGTTTTCAATATGACTTGAATTTTTTTTTTTTCATTGCGTGAGGGAATAAAAAATAATTTCATTCACTACCTAACCAGGACAAAGCAGAACAAAAACTACATGACAAGATTAGGCAATGTTGTAATACCAGAATTATACTATATTTAATTACAGTTGAGAACGCTGTTGAGAAAAGTAGAGTGGCTTAATAGTCTTCCAATAAAACCGTCTTTGGCACGGCCCACAGTTTGAAAACTAGTGAATAAAAGCTGCAGTTAAGTTGAAAGTGTTAACAGGCGACATGTCACAGCAGAGTCTGCCTTGAGTTGCTGTATTTATTTTCCTCTTTCTGTGATTTCCTGTCCCTCTCTCTCTTCTGGGTTCCCACCTTTTCATCTTCTCAATCCAGAAATAGATTATCTTCACTTCTAACACCACACTTGTTTGATTGTTGAAAAATGAATACCAAAATAAGGTCAAATGACTAATTACAATTTAGCCTCTTTTTCTGAGTGCTGGCCTTTCACTCAAACAGAGCTGCAATTTTAAAAAAAATAAACAGAACTTCATAAAACACTTAACTTCAGGTTAAGTGTTTTGATTTTAGTCATTGCCTATAATTATGAAGTTGCAGGGCTCAAATTTCTGGTAAAACGCCTAAAAGGTTTTTAGTTTTTTTCTAATTGTTTACTATATATATGTTTTTGTTGGTTATTGCTAATAAAAAAAATGCT